ATCAGACAAACCCAAATTACCTAACTGGTAATTTTCAAGAGTGTCAAGGTCATAAAAAACAAAGGAAGTCTGAGAAGCTGGCACAGTTTGGAGGAGTGTAGCGATACATGCTGACTAAATGCAATGTGGTGTCCTGCATGGAATCCTGGGACAAAAACGTTAGTGGAAAAGCTGGTAAAGTCTGTAGTTCAGTTAGGAGTATCGTACCAACGTTAATGCTTATTGATAAATATGCTTTGGTTGTGTTACACATTAACACTAGGGGAGACGCAGGAAGCACATATAGGAACTCTCTATACTGTTTGCAATTGTTCTGTAAAACTAAAATTATTTCAAAATGAGAAGTTAAAAATATCTTCTCCCACTGAACTGTTAGCAGGAATCATCCTGTAGTGATCACTACTATATGTCCATTCCTAGAACAGGGCTGTATGCTGGATAAGACTTTGGTTCTAGAGCCCGGCTATACATTGAATTCCTGTCTTGGCCACTTATGAGCTGTGTTATGAGCAAGTTTCTTAAGTATTCCAGTCTCAGTGTTCTCATCTATAAAGAGGAAGATAAGGTGGTTGTGAGAACGGCAGGGCTTACTATGTATAAAACACAAACAACAGGGCAAGGTTAGTTATCATTGACATAACTCTCATTCAGTGTATCATTGTTGAATGACAGAAAGCATGACACAAGGTTTTTGCTAAGAAAGAGTCACAATTCTATTAAAGTCATAAAGAGAGAGTGTTTGGAGAAAAGGTTCGGGGCACAGAGTAGTATGAATGAAATGGGGGTTCCATGAGGCACAGTGGGTAGGTTGGCAGTAAAGATGGCAGAAGTGTAAATTGTGGAGAGTGAAGCAAGGAGCAGTACTGGTATGGAAGTATGTCTGAGGGCCCTGTATCAATATTTTGATTAATAGTGAAGAGCGATTAGCCTCTCTGGGGCATGCTGCCTTAGGTAGGTTCTTCACTGGAACCGCACTCTGCTCTGTATTTGCAGAGGGCTGACCCCTGAAGCATACATTTCTCAGCCTCCCACTTCTGATGGTTTCCAGCTGAATATGGCCAAATGGGAGGCAACGGTGAGACACTGGAGGGTGGGAGATTGGAGTCCCTGGCTGGGGCAATGACTCCAGCAGCAGCTACATCTCCATCAACAGTCCTGCCATGGTCTCAGCTTTTGCCCAGAGGCCAGTGGTACCACCTCGTCCTCTGTCCCTGTAACCTAGGGTCTTAATGGCCTCCTTCTGTCAATGACTCTTGGGTTGCCTCCCTGTCCTCATTTTGGCTCTCAGTTCCTCCGTTACCTGTGTAACTTTACCAGTTTTGGAATCGCTACTATGAATGCTCAGGTGGTTTCTACTTCCTGATTAGATTCTGACAAAAACAAAGGTCATGATGAAATTCCCTGTTTTCCAGACCGACTGAAACTCTGGGGCAAGGTTTCCCATTGCTACACTGGTTGTTTTCCTAAGTATCTATTATAGTCAATGTGCTGTGAACCATCCTGGGCTTCAGGTATCGTGACGTTTAGAAGAAGGAGGTGTTGCGGAGAGCCTGTTTAGGATTACTGAAGCACCACTGCTTTGCAGACAGTCCCAGACAGATAGGAAACATCTGATGGGAGGAGGAAGTTTCAGAATCACAGTGACACAACAGCCAGCCCCAATGATAGATCCATCAGGAGTTATACGGGCCAAAGAGCTCCCCTGCTCAGAAGTATGCCACAGTGGGACTCCCCTGGTGGTGCAGTGGTTAAGAATCCACTTGCCAATGCAGGAGACATGGGTACGAGCCCTGGTCCGGGAAGATCCCACATGCTGTGGAACAACTAAGCCTGTGAGCCACAACTACTGAGCCTGCGCTCTAGAGCCTGTGAGCCACAAGTACTGAGCCCGCACACCCAGAGCCCATGGTCCACAACAGGAGAAGCCACTGCAATGAGAAGCCTGCGCACCTTAACAAAGGGTAGCCCCTTCTTACCGCGACTAGGGAAAGCCCGCTCGCAGCAACGAAGACCCAACGCAGCCAAAAATAAATTAATTAATTAAAAAATAATAATAATTTTTAAAAAAAGAAGTATGCCAGAGTATTGGAGCCAGAGCAGGGGCATCCATACCATTCCAGGTCCTTTAAATAAACCTGGCTTAGTCATGCTGGGACTTCATACAAAAAGATGCTACTATCACCAGCACTGTGTCTCCAGCATTCATTTAGACTGCCTCTCACGTGAGTTCTTGCTCTCTTCTTCCTCATTTGGGCTCCATTTCTCACACTTATTCCTCACCTCACCCTTGGGAATAACAACCTGGCTTGGCCGGCTGCCCTACCTTGACCTTGGTATCCCTTCCAGAAGGTCATTCTGGCATTTGTCTCCCAGCTCCTCACAGCCCCACCACAGTGATGGAAGATTCTCCTTCCACACCCCCACTTAGGACATTACGAGGGTCTTCCTTTTATTTCAGTTTACCCTTAAAAATAGGAAACCAAATGAAAGACAGCATGCGAGAGTTGATGATGAGATTGGCAGCAACAAGTCAGGCTAGAATAAAGGGAAGAGAGATAGAGGCAAGAAGTTAGCTAGGAAGTTTTTAGATGTAGTTAGAACCTAGACTCTCAGAGTGGAAGAGGTGAAGATGTATGGGAAATCCAAGAGATTTCTTTAAAGGAAGATAATAATAGTAATAATATTTAATTATAAAGATACAGAGTATCTAATCTCTTCCTTTTAGCCTCAGTCAGATGGTTCCATAAACATCCTTGCCTGTCTGAGAGACAGCAGCAGTGACAAGTAGTGTTGTCAGGGTGAGTGGGCTTTTGCTTCTCCACAATTTCCACTGGTTTTCCCCTTTAATTCCTTGATCTTGGGCAGCTGACGTTTTCTCATTCTTATGGAAAGGGCTTTGCAAAAGCAGTTTTGTGAAGTCTGGTAGCTCCTACTTTCCACCAAATTGAGTGCCCAGAGCAATTCCTATATAGAAATTCTCAGTTCTCTACAGAAAGAGGTAGTTTATTGCTATCAAAGATTGATCACGGCACTTAAAATCTATACTTTATTTTAAAACAATACCATTAGGCAGTGATTCTAAACAACCACGTGCACTCTCATTCAAACCAGGCTCATACATGCCTTCTTTCCCTCTCCTGTAAAGGTGAGCCCGGCAGTGTTCACTTCCCCAGAGGTGGCTCTTTGATGAAAAATAATGAAAATGTTTGTCACCACAGGCTGATACTGAGAAGTTACCTACTCAGCCTAGACAGCAGCCTATTTTTAGCTAAAAATCCAGGAAGAAAATGTATCTGAAGTGTGATATTGTGAAGAGTATGGGTTTTGTATGCATTCAGAGTTAGTTTGAGTCCTTGGTTTCACGATTTACTGGCTCTGTGACTATTGGTAATTTATTTAACTTCCCTGTGCTTCGGTTCACTTACCATTTATTATTTTCCTATCACAAAAATCAGGATAGTAATATGCCCCTTATAGTGCTATTTAAAGGATTAAATGAGTATTACTATCTGACCTGGCATGTCTGGCATTTAGTGGCTTGTTATTGCTGGTGATGGTGTTTTTAAGTGTATTTCCTGAAGGATCGTCTCTCTTATTCTCTCCCAGAGAAAAAGTGAAGTTACCGCTATAGTTAGATGGCAATGGTTCTTAATGCCAGCTGCATTTTAGAATTACTTGGCAGAGATTTTCAAATATACCAATGCCAGGCCACATCTCAGAACAATTCAGTCAGAATCTCTGGAGGTGGAACCCAAACAGGTTTTTCTAATATGCAATTGGGAGTGAGAATCACTAGGTTAGAGGAACCATAGATCTGAAGTTGGATGGTGTGATGGTTAATTTCGTGTGTCAACTTGACAGGGCCATGGGGTATCCAAATATTTGGTTAAACATTATTTCTGTGTGTCTGTGAGGGTGTTTCTGGATGAGATTAGCATTTGAATCTGTAGAATAAGTAGAGCAGATTGCCCTCCCTAATGTGGGTGCGCATCATCCAATCTTCTGAGGGCCTGAATAGAACCAAAAGGTGGAGGGAGAATTCTCTCTGCCTAACTGCTTAAGGTGGGACATTGTCTTCTGCCCTTGGACTTGGATTTATATCATCGGCTCTTCCTGAGCTTTTGGACTCGGCACTTATATACCACTGGACTTCCTGGGTCTCCAGCTTACAGACAGCAGATCGTGGGATATCTTAAGACTCCATAATTTTGTGAGCCAATTCCTTATAACAAGTATCTATCTATCTATCTACACACACAAACACACACATACACACAGATATATATATATATATATGTGTGTGTGTATACATATATACACGCTGTTGGTTCTGTTTCTCTGGAGAAGTCTAATACAGATGACGCTCTTATGGTCCTTTGTGCTCTCCAGATTTGAGAAGACTACCTGTTATTCTTCCTCTTTTATGAGGAACATGGACCTTCATTTTCCTAAAAGAGACAATTTCAGTTTAATATCACCCTGTATTTCAGGTCCAGGGTGGAAGGATTTGACTCAATCTACTTGCAAAAGTATGATTTGATGAGCAGTATGTTGCAGTTATCCAGTGGATAAATATAAATTAAGTCATGTTCATACTTAGGGACCACTCATGGATGCTTATATATTGGTATATACCTATTAATCCATTATAGTTGTTTCTTTTTTTGATGCAACAATTGCCCTGTTTTGGCCAGTGGAAACTCTTCGAGTTTATCCAGTGTAAGATACTATCATTATTAGCTATTTTTATTGGTACATAAACTATAATATATTTGAAAGTGAGAGCTGTGATTAAAGTGAAGTATGAGAAACAATAATTTTTAGAACACTGAATTAAGTACAAATGCAAAAGGTTGTGAGGAGAGGAAAATGATAAGGAAAGGTTTAAAAGGGTAACACATTGTTATCTCATTCTACATTTACAGTCATAAAGGTATTTTATTTTAACCACTTCCTCACCAACTCAATCACCTTTAGAATAAAGTCAACATTGTACTTACTTCCTGTAGATTTCATAAGCTCCCAGAAGTTTCCTGGCAAGACCCTGTATTAAAAGGAGCAGGTGATATCAAGGTCAAGTATATGTTTCTGATATAAATAGCAGGAAGTCTATAAAGTGTTTATTTTAAGAAAAGTAGGTTTGAAACATATGCTTGAATATACAGAAGCACAATACGTTCTCCAGCGCAATATAACACCTGTGTAGAACAGCTAAGCCATATGTTTCAGAAATTATACTTTAAAAATTACTATGTAGATGTCAAAAAGGAAAATGCACATTTGTAAAAAAAAAAGTTTGTTATTAACATAACTCAACTGTATGGTTTCTTCAAATCTTTCTTAACTGTGAGAAGTATTTTTAAAATCTTCTAGGATATGCCAAAACTTCTTCTAAAATCATTAACGTATAATAAACCAAAAGTCTTAGAAACCTATTGTCAAAAGGATGATATTAAAATTTCTATACAATATTGGAATTTAAATCAGCTCAATTTTAATGCAACTCATGAAATTTAGTATTAGAAACTCAATGTGTCACAAAATAGCTAATGTTAGATATATTTCCCATTGGTATCTTCTTGGTCTCAAGGAAAGAGCTTTCTGCCCTTTTTAGCCGAAGATCTAACACTATGTTAAGGTTGTCCATGTTGTAGGTATGTACGTGTGTTTAGGGTTAGGGTGTGCACAGGAAGGGGAGATAAGAGTGAGAAGCCCTCAGGCTGCTGTGTGTGACTAGAGAGGTTCCTACCTGGAATATATAATAGAGGGGAGGAAGACTTAAAGTTAGAATAAATAGAAATACTAAATTTAAAAAGATCACCAAGAAATGCAGGATTGAATTTTCAGCTAGTATTTGACACTAGCTATCCCAATGGCTTGATCTATGGTGCTTCAAGAGCTACAATTTAATTTAACTGAAAGGGCAATTTAATTGAACTGAAAGATTTATTATAATGTGTTTCTAAATAAAAATCTTCTTTAAGCCTATTTTTAATGACTAGTTTAGACCTTGATAATTAATAATATTCATTTGTAAGACGATATTTGATATAGTAAAGTAGTGAATATAGTAAATTGATACAGTAATGTAGTAAATAGCATTTTGTTTCTATAATTAGGTGAAACAACCAAATTGCACTTAGTAACCATTAATTTGCTGAATAAACCTTATTCACAGATAACATGAAAGAAACATTCATATGACTCAGGTCAAAACATTATGGATTCTTGGTCCATTGGGTTCAAATTACTACAGTGGTTCTATATGAGTGCAATAAAATGCTTGATACAAAAATGGAATAAGTCTGGAAGATGTCTCACAACTTATCTCTCTCTAGGAGATTCACAATGCACATACCATATTTAGACTATTCTAAGATATCCTATAATAACAAAAGCCTGTTTAACTCAGCGTTTCCCAAACTAAGTTGGCCCTGGCTCACTTTTCCAAGGAAAACCTATTATTCTGGCAAACCCTGTAGATCAAACCCTGTTGGCTGCCTACACAACAGCTCTTCCCTCCTCCCCTTTTCTAACAGAACAATGATTTCATTGGAACGGCAATATGCCCAGTCCCAGTGCATCTTGAGTTCTCTAAGCCAGTCTTAAGAATCCCTAGGGGCAGATCTGTGGTGCAGAACCTGGCCAACGAGACCTAAGGAGAAGTCTGCTGGGAGGCTTTTCCTTGATCAAAAATGGTGGCATTGCGAGAAGGTCCTGGATGCTGTTATGTGAAAAATGAGATGCCTCTAAAAGTGACAGCATCTTGGCAATCAGGAAGTAACAAACCTAAGGTCAAAAGCCAGCTGGCTGAGGTGGGAGGAACAGAAGGATAAAATGGGCTTGGATCTTCGATGGAATTGTTGAATCCATACGCCAACTTGATGACTGCCTGTCTCCATATTTCTTAATAAGGAAAAAAAAAAATCTTATATAAGCTACTCTCGGGTTATTATCACTTGCAGCTCAGCACCATCCCAAGTGACAAACATTCTCCCGGGAAACCCTGGAGTAGAATAAGAGGGTGTCCTGATGATTTCCTGGGAGACTGAGCACTCAATACACACTAGTGGGAAAAGGAAGCAAGAAGCGTTGTTCAGGGCTGGGACCAAGGGCACTAATTTAACAAGACTGAGCCTGATGTTCAGATCATGGCAAACTTGGCTTCAAATGGGTCAGGATGGTGCTAATAGTTTGAGGTATATCAATTGTGAGGTACATCAGTAAGGGTAGAAAAGATTATGCTGAGGGAAGAAACAACCTTAAAACTTATGTCTCACTCGAGCTGCATGTTCATTGTGGATTGGTTGGGGGCTCTGCTCTGACTCATCTTTACTCTGGAGCCCAGGAGGAGGGAGAACCCTTTTCTGGAACAGTGCTGGCTGTCGTACGGGAGAAAAGAAAGTTCTGGGGATTCTCACTTGACAAAGACTTGGTCCATAAATCACACCCATCATTTCTCACAGATCATTAAACAGAACTGGTTACAAGATTCCACTCAACCATAAGAGATCAGGAACGGCAAGCCCTCGGAGAACATCTTCACTGGCTATCACTCATGTCAGCGGAGCTGGCATCGTAATAGAAGTTTCTTGCCAGAAAGCATGCTTGAGGCCTTTGGATTCTCTCTGGGAGGTCTGTACGGGCAAAAGCAAGACCTGGGTTGGTGGCTGGAGAATTACAGGGAGCTGCATTTGGCCCTGGGGCAGAGAGCTCCTAAGTGCTAGATAATGTATCAGGGTTCTATCAAACTGCTTAAAATCCAAGCAGGACTCTGGCCCCAGGAGAGAAACTGGAGGGCCAGATGCTTACCTCTAGTTTCTGTTTGCTGAGTTCAGGTAGATAAGCCTTCCATATGGTTTAATTTGAGAGGGATTTCTGGGGCCAGGTGGGATGGGAGAGACGATTTATAAGTCAGAGTAGCAGGAAGGTGAATTTAACTTATGGTTGAAGGAGAGCCAAGGTTCTACCCAGGGAGACAGTTTCAAAAGTCAAATTTGAAGGGATTAGTGAGGCCAGAAATAAGAGAATAAGTAAACAAAGCTCAGGAGGATTACATGTGGAATGCAATAAAATGTGAGGCATGGACTTTGACAAATGGCTTAGGAATAACGCAGTGAACCATGTGAGTGGACTCAACATTTCTTTCTTTGTGCCTAGCATAAGAAGAATTGAGCAATTTCAAGGGGTCATGCCAGACTGGATAAACATGTTTGTCCCTCGGGGAGAAGCCTGTGATTTAGTGAGGTTCCCAGTGCCTAGGGCCTAATGGCAGAAAGACGAATTCCAGACTCACTGGCTGGGGAAGAGCTGCAGCTGGTCTGAATTGGGTGTACACAGCCTGCCTCAGCCTGGCTTATCTTCGGGATGGAGCAGAGCTGAATCTTCGGGTGAAAGACCTTCAGTACCTGAGCTTAGCAGAGCTGAGAAAGGCAGGGCTGGATGTTTCATCACTTACAGATGAGCCTTTCCAGACAGGCCTGCATTACTGACATCCTTAGACCTCTTGTAGAACCTATCAACCGTGGTGTGCATTGGGCATCTAGTATGACATTTCTGGGCTTGTTAAATCTCTTTCTATGTGTGTCCCCTTTCTCTGCAATCTGCAGCTGGCCCCTTTACGCCCTGACGGGAACTATTCCAGCACTCTTGACATAGTAAGGGCCCAGTACTGGTTGGTTGTTATGGATAGAACACAGAACTTTCACCTATAGAAAATGAATATAAAGTCATCCAACGTAACTGGAAACAACGCTTCTAGATGCTTCTAGAAACAACGCATTTACTTTATAATGTAAAAATGGATGGGTTGAGGAGAAAAACTGGTGTTCGTTGCAGTTCTATTTTTATCAGGCACTGGGCCAGGCACTTCAAAACATCATCCCATTTACTTCTCACATCAGCCGTGAGGCAGATTTTCATTTCTTTTACCTTATAGATAAGGAACGGAGACTCACAGGTTACTAGCTTGCATGAGTTCATACACTGTGTGGGTTAGTAAGCAGTGAAGCTGTGATCCGAAGGCAGGACTCAGTGACGCCGTGGCTCAAGCCTTTATCACTTCACCACTCTGCTGCCAATAGAAATAACGCAGTACTTTGATCAACCAATGAGCATCAGAAGGGGCCTCCTAGATATTCATACATCTTCTAAAGAGGGGGACCACAGAGGAGAGAGCAATTAGCTAACTAATGAATCATCCTCTGTTGCACAAATAAGCTAATTGAATTTACTTAGGAAGAAGCATTGGAGTGATCCTGCCTCTGTGATCCAGCTACCCAATCTTGGGCGAGTAACTTAAGCTCTTGGAGACGTGGTTTTTATAAAATGAGATCCCTCCCTTTGTCAGGTCTCCCCTCACCAATCTATTATGAGGAGCAGCTGAGATTACATGCATGCAGTCAACGTGGATACTGCAAAGAAATATTCAAATGGAAGGCATCATTATTGACTTTGCCTAAATACCAGACAATAATAAGTAAAATATTTTCCACCTCCAGTGTATTAAAATTGTAGAATAGGGAGCCAGGCTCACCCTAGATTTTAATAAGGAAACACTTCTAATCAAGACTTCAGGTATGACTTAAACAAATAAAATTAGGTCTTTAGAAGCATTTATTCTAATATGTAATTTTAAATGATTTTCTGCGCAGAATAGAGATTGACCGTAAGATTAATGGGTGAGCTAATAATAAATTGGAAAACCTTAATTTATTAGCAGTGGTCTTTGTTTTTATTTAAGTTACTTTTGTTTTATAAATTTTATATAATTGTCAAATATTTAGAAGTACTGGGAGAAACATCCTTTTTAAAAATGTACTGCTTTTTAAGTTCTCTCTGTGGAAACTAGAAAAGGAAGAAAAAGATTTTTATGTTCAAGACTTCCTCCTATTACTGTCAATAACAGTTAAGTGCATTTATGGAGACATGAGACAGCACAAAGATTCTTCTGTAATTCATCAGAAGGCCCATCTTAAGTATAATTACATTACACAGCTCTGCTTGGTCATTAGTTTTTGTTTAGTGACAATGTCCTTCATTTTA